AATTGCGTCTGCCGTCTGCAGCACATGGATTCGTTACAAGCTTTTCATATGCTAAAATGATTATTAATGAGTGCAGTCCCAACCCAGCGCAGGCACAACAACAGCCATGACAAAAAGATCTTTTGGAAGGCAATTAGCTCCATGCTAAGCTGCCTAAACCAAGGCAGTGCTGGAAAATTTCAGGAAGCACTGGCAATACAGCTTTTCTCTTCTCTTTTGATGAGTTAATGAGTTACTGAGTGGCAGCAGGCACAGTCAGTCTTGTGAAACAGCTCCACTAAGGAGCCTTTCCTGGTCGGTATCAAAGGCAAGAGCATTTTCCCCTGGCTAAGCAGAGGGCAAGATGTATTCCCAGGTCACTGTTGTATTGCTTTCCTTAGGAAAACAAAACAAAACAAAGACAACCCAGGGAAAGAAGCAACAAGAACAATTATTTTCTGAGAATAGGAGGGAGCACTACTATATACTGATGCATCCAAAACCCTTCGCCATACCATAGTGGCACTGGATGGTCTTAGGAGCTTTCCGGTTCAAGCCAGGCTGGGGTGAGTTGCTGTGCTAATGATACCTGTGAAGCCACATCCTGTGGTCTAAAAACCCTCACTCATATCCTCCATTCGAGTTGCTGATGTGCCTGAGCGAGGGGTTTACCCAAATTTCTCGAGGGTTTGATTGCTTCTGATGTCTAATGAACAAATTTCCTGCCACATCAGAGAACGAGCAGCCTTGAGGGAAGAACTCAGTCTCTTGTGATTCAAGGGAAACTCAAGCACATAGGGAAGGATCTTCTGATCTGCATCTAAGGATCTCCCAGAAACATCTGGGAAAGGATCCACTGGAGATAACCAAAACTGAAGTACAGAAGAAGGAGCAAATCAGCAGCACCAGGCCAGTGAGGGGTGCACACCTGACCAGTTAGTCACAGTCTTCTACTTTGGACTCTCAGTCCTGAACCTTTGGACACATGCTGGCAGATTTGCTGCTTTTCTACTTCTCTCTCTCATTCAGAAGGAATCTGAGATGCTGGAGCATGTCAAGAGGAGGGCAACGAAGCCGGGGAAGGGTTTGGAGAAAGTCTTATAAGGAGTGGCTGACGGAGCTGGGGGTGTTCAGCCTGGAGAAGAGGAGGCTCAGGGGAGACCTTGTCGCTCCCCAAAACTCTCTGAAAGGAGGTTGTAGAGAGGTGGGGGTCAGTCTCTTCTCTCGTTACAAGTGATGAGAGGAAATGGCCTCAATTTGCACCAGGGGAGGTTTAGATTGGATATTAGGAAAAACTTCTTCACGGAAAGGGCTGTCAGGCATTGGAAGGGGCTGCCCAGGGAGGTGGTGGAGTCACTATCCCTGGAGGTATTTAAGAGATGAGATGGTGTTTAGGGATATGGTTTAGGGTGGACTTGGCAGTGCTGGGTTGACAGTTGGACTCGCTGGTCTAAAAGGTCTTTTCCGATCAAAACAATTCTATGATTCTGTGGATATTTGCGATTATGTCTTGGTTTAGCGTTACATTCCCAACTCATTGCAGCCTCTGTGGCAGTGGAAGTGTGAGTCATCGATCTGTTCATGTCTCAGGCGAGATCTGGTGGCCCTCAGCTTTGGGGTGCTCACAGGAGCAGCGTGGTGAAAGAGAATCTCGCTCCCTCTGCATCACCTCGCAGTTCAGCTTTGGGGTAAGTGAGAGGTGTCGGCTGCAGGGGCGAAGGGAAGCAGCACACAGGCAGCCTTGCAAATGCTGGCAGTGAAAACATAAGGACCTCTGGGGTTTGGTGACAGCTTCACAGTGTTTTGAAGACATTAGGGGTATGCAAATGGCAGAGAGGCCCTAAGTACCTCTAAGGATCTGGACTCAAATAGAAGGTAAATAAAGACTCAGCAGGATGCTGTCATCTCCCTGGTAGGATGCTTTAATATACACATTCATAATTTCTTTAGATAGTGCAATGATGGCTTCATTAGAAACACTTCTGGATAAATAAGTCATTTGGCCATGGCAGAATTCTGATGGAAGTATATTATATGTCTTCTCCCTGTGCTAGCAGTTAGGTTTGATTATTGGTGCATGATGGTTTTTTCCTTCTTTTTCTTTTCTTTTTCCCACAAAACACACTTCCACAATATCTCAGTTTGCAGTCTTATTGGGAAGTGACTGCTCAGGTGTGTGATGGCCAGGGAATTGAGTCTGGGGTAGACCAGGACACTCTGGTATGGTGGTCGCCCATCAACCCAGAACACTGAGACCACAGCTTGAGAGTCTGTCGTGGCTGAAGAGACCTCCAAGCCCTAAAACCCAAATCTTGCATCCTGTCCTTCACTGCTGGGAGAATATTTCTGTAGGGCTGGAAAGGGACCAGGGAGCTTTCAGACCCTTGTGAGTCACAGACCCAGGAGAACATTGCTACCAGGGGAGAGGGAGACAGGAGAAACTCGGAGAAGCAGACAGTGAGTGTCTGTGTTTCACTTTTTAGAAGCATCCCATCCCTGTCCTGCCACCGTTGATGACTAGCCAAACCAGGAGGGAAAAGGAGCATTTCAACTGCTGGTCAGAGCCAGACAGGCAAATACGACATAGTACCTCTGCTTTCCTCCACCAGTCTCATTTATTTTTGCTATGATGTAATCCCCTTCACTTTTCATTTCGCCCAGCAGGAAGGTGTCTGTGCATTATTCATGAGGAGCTGGGCTCTTCTCCATGGGCTTTTCTTAGGCACCATAAATCAATGCATTTCGCTGCATTGCAGGCTGGTTTTCCATACAAGTCTTTGAACTGTGCTGGTTGCACACAGATGTAGTTTTCTTTGGGTGCTGAGGCACACCTTGGTTTTTGGCCATAAGACTCCTTGTTTCTCAGCAATGCGCTTTGGCTCCGAGGAGCCTGCAATAGCATGGTCATGGATGCCACCAGTCCCTGACGCTTTCTCGTGTCAGAAGTGCATGCAGCACAGGTATGATTTCGTTCATCTGCTGATGCTGAGACTCGTTTGAGTTTGCTGGGAGCGGAAAAGGTCTAGAAATATTTACTCATCCTGCTCATCATCTTCTCTTGGAGGTAGTTCTGCAGGACAGGTCCCTCATTAGGTATCCAAATTGCTTGTTCCCTTATAGCCAACTGTTCAGGTCCAGTTGGGGATTGGGGGTTAGGCTAAGTGTGAAGCAAAATCAAGCCCAGACCAATCATTGCTGGAGTACTGGGAGCAGGCATTATTTAGACCATGGGACTGAGTTAGATCAGGATTTTTGGCAGGTCTTGAGCCCAGAAGACAAGATGCTAGGACTCCAGGGAGAGTAACATTGTGCACATTGGAAGTTGCAGTGAAGTTAATGAGGTTTGCATGAGATTTTATGATGAGCCAGAGTCTAGCTCTGGAAGCAGTCAGGCTGGAAGAAGCTGGGAGAAGGACAACTGTCTCTTACGCCTTTCTCTCCCAAGGGTTACATCAACCCCGCTGCAAAACCAGGGTAGCAACTGAGACCAAGCCATTGCCGTAAATCAGGACGGGAGCGCAGGGCACAAAACCAGACAGCAAAACTGGAGCCTTCTGATGTGGAGGGGTTTCCTCCTAGGCCTCTTGCACTGTGCTGTCTTTCATAGGAGATTTCGGCAGCAGCTCGTCCCGCTCTGTCACAGAGAGTATTTTCCCACTTGTCTGTGTGAAGAATCCTTATCTTCAGTGTCCAATTTCTCTGCAGTGGAAAACAGCCTCCTTCTCAGCAGGTGTCTCAACGCTGTTTACAGGACACCTGTCAGCTCTTTTGGCTCCCCGTCCCCTCTGCCTCCTAATTATAAAATTGTGGATTGCTGCAGCTATGGGCTTTTTTTCTTTCTTTTTTTTTTTTCTTCCTTGTGCACAAAATGTCAAATTGCAGAAATTAAAAATGTAAATGATGGCGTCTAATTAACCAGTTGACAGCAGAGCACAGCTGCGAGTGACAGTGACTGATTACCTTCTGCAAACCTTGTCCTCCAAGACCTGCCTTACCCGGGGGGACGAAGGACATCGAAAATAGCAACTTCCTTAAAGAGACATTGCTCTGCTGTTGGAGCCTGATGGGCAGTGGTTCTGGGGGTTCCATATTCTGTGGATAAAGTCCCCATCCTCTCGAGCTCAAGGAGAATGGTGTTAACTCCTAGGGAAAGCAGATTTTCCCCATACAAAGTGGGGATGGGAGTGCTGAAGTCTGTTGCCACAAAAATTGACATCAGGCCAGCTTACGTCCAGGGCAAGAGGAAGATGCTGAGCAGCAGAGGAGTTACTGGGATAGACTGGGGGAGGTGGATGGTGTTAGCAATGGATGCAGATGTATAGAATGGTTTGTGTTGGAAGGGACCTTAAAGCCCACCCAGTCCCACCCCCTGCCATGGGCAGGGACACCTTCCACTAGACCAGGTTGCTCCAAGCCTCATCCAGCCTGGCCTTGGACACTTCCAGGGATGGGGCATCCACAGCTTCTCTGGGCAACCTGTCCCAGTGCTTCACCACCTTCTCAGTGAATAATTTTTTCCTGATACCTAATACAAGATTAGGGACAAGTACATAAAATGTACTAGTGTGAATGGTGCAAGCAAGCATGCAAGGGTTTGGTTTTTGTCTGTGGGAGCGAAATCCTGAGCTCTCAGTGGGCACTGAAATCTGTGGGACTTCTCTGCAAGACTAGAGGCAGGACTCAAAGCCCTTGAGGGCCTGACAAAGAAATCCAGCATCAGTAGCTACTGCTTACTTCTTTGATGGCATAGAGAAGGTTTACAGGATGCTTTTTGGGACTCCAATATCAGAAGAGGGTTGAGTGAATACAGCCTACATCTCCTATTCAGGAATAATGCTTCAGTAATTTCCACTTTGGCTAAGTCATCTCCCTTGCTGTAAAAGAGGAGCATGAGCAGTTACATCACTGATGCACCAAAGGAGTCCTGGAGTGCTGTGTTCTTTCTCCTTATCGTTGGTGGCTTTCATCTCTTGACTCTCTACTCTCAGCCCAAAAGAAACACTTGTATTTCCCTCTCTCAGGTACTACTCAGACATCGCCAAAATGCCAGCAATCAGCGACCAGGACATGAACGCGTACTTGGCTGAGCAGTCTCGTATGCATATGAACGAGTTCAACACCATGAGTGCGCTCTCAGAGATATACTCCTACGTTGGCAAGTACAGCGAGGAGGTAAGAGCCTTGGAGTGGGAGGAGCAGTTCTGCAGGACCATGGGACAGCCCGCTCGTTCCCAGAGCCCAGCATGTGTCACAGATGCCTATTTTCATCCTGGCTAGGGGAACGATGGATTTAAGGAATGAAAAGCAAGGCCTGGGGTCTAGAAAGGGAAGGTTTGGTATTATTGGTCTCCCCCCACTACTCTTCCATCTGTATCCCTGTTATTTTTCTCTCCTTTTATTTACCAGTCAGATGTAGCTGTTCTGCAGTAGTTGGTCACATGTTAGCTTGCTACAGAGGAGCCTTACATGAGCTCTGCATCACGTGACCTAAAATTGTTCACACATACGTGCCCAGTGCCATTTCAGATACCCTAAAACACCCAAGAATGGTCCAGAAAGCATGACACAGGACTTAAGGGTGACCAGCATAGTTCTATATATTGAAGACCAGGTGAGCCCCCTTAGGGCATCTCAAGTGGCGTGGCAAGGTGATGAATAAAGCTACCAAATAAGTGACCTCTGAGATAAGAGTCCATTTGATTGGTCGAAGTCTAGAGGTCTGCATTTTGTCAGATCAACCCCAAACTGCCTGCCTAGTTCCAAGCTGACTGACTTGCTTTGCGTGATCTAAGCTAAGCCTGGGACCTACGTCAGAGAAGGCTGACCCTCATCTGCTGCTGTAGCATGCTAGACTCAATTCTTTGGGAAAAAAAATATGAAATCCCTATCACTTCTTTCTCCCTCCTTTTTCCAGATTCTCGGAGCCCTTGATCAAGACGACCAGGCTGGGAAACAGAAACTTGCCTACAAACTTGAACAAGTCATAACCCTCATGAGCATAGACAGCTGAGAACTGTCCTGCCAGGGACACCCTGGGAGGGATAAACCAAGTCGTGCCTCACTCAAGATCATCATCTTTACCAAGTGCAAGTTTTGATCGGCTGTAAGCAGAGTCACCTGAACAGCGCTCCTCTCTCTCTCTCATTTCTTTCCCTTTCGAAATCTATGGACAGTGACAAAGCCCCAGGGGTTAAAAGAAAAGACTGCAGAGGAATCTTGGCTCTGGGGACATCAAGACATTTGGGTGGAGCTCTCCTTTTCACAGCTTCCCCCCTGCCTTTGCCCTAGAGAAGAACTTACACACACAAAGAAGCCCCACAAACCCTTCCCCAACATCACATCATCACTCTGCAGATGGGAAATTGGGAGGTAACTTCTGTCATGCTGCTTTAACTGCCCTCCAAGGGCTGTAGCCTCTGGAGCGGACATGGAAATGAACTCAGTATTACTAAAAGTCTCCCCACAGGGAAGGCAGCCTGCCCGCAGGGATCCTGGAGGGCAGAAGCAACTCGAGATCCTCTCCTGCAGAGCCATTGCAACTCTATCTCTGGATAGTGACCCACTGGGAGAGGAACGCCAAGGCTCCCCGAAAAATGCCACAGCTCCGTCCAGAGTGGGACCGTTGTGGCTTTTATCTGCCTGGGCAAGCAGCAGTGTAGCTGCTCTTGTGGGGCAGGGGTCCCAAGGCAGGTCAAAGAGGGGAGGAGGAGACCGACGCTCCCCTGCCCATGTGTTTCATATGGTTATTCTTATTTTTCAAAGAGACCTGTGTCCCCCTCCGTCTTTCCCATTGTGTCCTGTTGGTCGTAGCACTGCGGCAAAAACGCTCTCTGCTCAGTGGCATCCCGTCAGTGGTGGTTCTGTTCCTTCTGGCAATGGACAGCACAGCGTCTCCCTCGTTCCCACCTCAGCTTGGAAAGCAAGTCTCATTTTGTTCCAGGCAAGGAGCTCGGCCTCAAAAACCAACCAGAGGGATTCTTTTTCAAGCTGTTAGTTCTTTCCATTTTGTTTCCTCAGCTGGGACAAAGCTATTGTTTTCTCATGGTGGAATATCAGAAGGATATTGAAGGGCTTGCCACGAAGCAAAGTGGTGCATAGGACTGATGGTAAAATCCTTCCTTCAAAGCCACTCCTGAGAGGAAATGTCACCACACATTTTGGAAGGAGATCTTGGAGGAAATCCAACTGAAACTGCAAAATGTTCTTCTACCTAGATACCCCCAGCCGAACTGCAGGTCTTCTGGAGATCTCTGAACCACTGTAAGCTTGTCTGCCTTCTGGTGCCAACTCCTGGCCTTTCCTCTTCTCCATTTCTGGAGCCAACAGGCCTTGCTGAAGGCACAGTTGCTGCCTGGGGAGGATTTTCTCCCTCTTTGCACTTTCTATCCCTTCAGAGATCACTGTCATCACAGGATATTTGTGGGTGTTCCCCGTCCTACCCTCCGCTCAGCTCCTCCTGATCAACATCTCAACCCGTTTCACGGCCATAGAGGAGTGAGCTCCTGCATTTTTTTCTGTGTTTGGCTGTTTTGTTCATACAGCTGCCAGCCTGGATAACACCAAGGTTCGGCACAGTGGGAGACCCGCAAGGTCTGGAGAACCTTGCATCTTGCACACCATGGAGGCAAGAGCTGGGTCTACATTCATCTCACCAGAAATGGAGAAGTGATGCCACGGAGAATCAGCCCACCTTCATCTCCCACCATCCTCAAGCTACAGCTTGGATCTACTTTGCACCTGGAGGGAGGAAGGGGTAAAGACAGAGTGTGTAAATTGATTACAGAACGAGTGCTTTGGGGTTGGTTCATGCCTCTTGCTAGCAAACCAGCACCTCTTGAGAGCAGCGGCTCATGAGTGCGAGTAATGGGGGATGTGGTGCAAACGGGAGTCAGTCAGCAGGCGGGTTTCCTTCAGCCAAGCAGACACACACGCAGGCGAGTGTTTCTAAAATCGTTTAAGGAACAGCAGTCCAAAACTGGATGTGTGTGTGGGGAGAATATCACGAGATACAAAGAAACAGCAAACTTAGGGACACGTCTTGGTTTTAAAACCCCAGACATTTCTCTCTTGATTCTAATTATTATTATTTTGTGCGTGCGTGTGTGTATGTGTGTGCGTTATTTCCTTTTTAATTTTGCTTGCTTTCTGTTTGATTGCTGAGCTGATGGACTCATCATGCACCTTATGGACATCTCAGCATTTTTAAGAGGCCTGCGCATTGGGGGTGATTTGGGTTCGGTTGGTTCTGCCATGGTTTTGTTGATCCATTTAGTAAATGTTGGCGCATGTTCCAGATCCATTGATTATGGCTGTGAAAGTGGGGTGGAAGTCCCACCAGAGCCAGTGGTAAGAAAATTACAACAACAACACAAACACGATATTTTTTATAAGTACATAAAAAAGGAAAATTAAAAAAAAAAAAATGAAGAAACCAAAGGTTTTGACAAACAAAGTGCCACAAAAGATAAATATGGACCCTATTGTCATGCCTTGTACTCGCAGCTGGATGGTAGGAGTCTAAGGACAAATGGCTGGCTTGGAGGGAAGTGGTTATGAGTGATGGGCTATACTGCCTGGACATGCGCACATGAAAGGAAGAAGAAGCTGTTTAAAACAAACAAAAAAAGGGTATCAAAGTGAACTGGTGTAATCCTGCACTGTTACCGAAGTCAGAGGAACACCACAGGGGAAATATGAGACTCACCCTGTTTCTTTTCGATGTTTTCAGGGCTGTGTTTTTGTTTTCTTATGGTTGTTTTCCATTGCTATTATTTTATTTCTTCTTGCTGGTACGGAGTTCTTCATCTGTAATGTATATATATATTTTTCAAGAAAAACTTGAACACCTCAGAGACACTGAGAATGAAACACTTAGGGGAAATGGGAAGCGCTGTGAGATTTGTGTCTTAACCCTTCCCAAGTTCCCATTTAGGCATTTCCGTTTTCTCTCCGCTGTCTTCTTTCCTCCACCCCCAGGATTTGAAAGAAAATACGTATTTTGCTTCTTTTTCATCTCCTCTTTTCTTTTTGTTTTTCTTTATTTGGTGTTTGAGCTGGTTTTGGTTCCTGCTTGGAAAATGTGCCAGAATCGTGATGTAAATGCGTGGGCTTCCTCCCCTGTCCCCTTCAGTGCCCTCCCCATTTCCAACCACTTTCCCAGCATTCCCTAATCTATGAGAGGTCTTGGCATCTTCCTTCCCAGCCTCACCTGTTGAGCTAACTTTTTTAAGTGCATGTAAAATACAACTAAAAACAAAGACTCAAGCAGAAGAATGAGCCCTACTACAACATGGATGCGTTCTTTTCCTCTTCCTTTGACTTGTTTCCTCCCTCCTCCCTTTGCACACTTGACCAAAAATGCCAATAGGTGGTATTCCACACTGGTTTTCAAGCCACATGGAAAGAACTGGAGCCAAAGTCCTTAGAAGTCAATGGATAGGCTCCTAATATCCAGAATACGCCAGATGATAGGCTGATCTTTATGAGTATTTCTCAAACACTGCAATCAAGCTGACACTTGCAGCACCATTAGAAATGGGGAAAGGGAGCTCATGAAGACTCTCTGTGGTCCTACGCAGAGATCTAAGCTTATTTCTTCACTGCAGAGTTTGCTCTAGGGCTTTGTGTCTGGGGTAGGGGAGCAAAAAGTGAACAGTCCCTCTGCAAAGACGTGTCCTCCCTGTGAGCGTACTCACCTATCAGTGTCACAGTGATCTGAGACGTAATCCATCATGTCATGTGCTTTTGCAGACTGAGCCTTCTGGTAAACACTGTTGTGGAAAAGTTGCATGTTGTCTGGAAGAAGGTGTTAGAGATTGTTAGTGTTTGACCAGGCAGCGCAGGAGAACTACCAAAAAGGAGAAATGCAGCCACCCAAGGGCACCTTGCTCTCCCAACATGGCCTAATCCTCATCCCACTCTTCATTCTGTCCTGAATATATCTAAGGTTTGGTCCACTCCAACACACACCAGCCTTGCTCTGTTAGGTGAGAGTGCTATGCCAATTTTCTCACCTGTAGCTTTACCACTGTAGTTGTCTTCTCATAATTCTGACACTGGAGAACATAAGAGATTGTGAGGGCATGAGGGAGATTGATGAGCAGAATTCTGATTGGTATTTTCTTTAATTGAAAAGTGATTACCAAAGTTACCAGATCTTGTGCATTAACCCACAGGGAGGTGTTTACCCTGAAAGGAGAAACACCAAACAAACCACATAATGGTCATCATTATTTTTAATAATGCCATTGAAAACTGATAGATGCAGACTGTTAAGAGTCCAGTGCCTACTTTAACTGTTGAGTCAGCCAACACAAAGAGTACATACCCCTTCAACATTTCCTAAAGGGTGGGATTTCTGTGGTGTAACAACAGAAGCAACCCAAGCACAAACCAGATGATATCGAGGAAAATTTGAAAGAAACAATTTTGTAAGAAAAACACAAAATGGAGATCTGTCCTTTCCCAAGGCTTTAGTGACATGCTTTGGCAAGAAATGCTATTATGTACAAGACTTCCCAGGGAAGGTTGGGAACCTGAAAGGACGGCGTCCCAGAGGTCATCTTCGTGGGGCATACATTTGTGTCTCCACAAAGGACCCTCAAGTTCAAGGATGATCTCACACCAAAAAGAAATGTCTGGGCTGCTGGAGATGATCAGGACTACTCTCTCACGTCTCCAAGGCATCACTAAAACATGCTTCCTCCTTCCCAGCAGCCTGTGGAAGAATTGCGCATGAAGCAGATTCATCTGATAGTGTGGAGGTGTTGGTTGATGCTGTAAAAGGAATGAGAGGCAGGATTAAAACTGGCACTTCTCCCCAAACTCCTGGGGTAGGCTCTAGTGTGTAAAAGGTTTGCATCTCTGTAGATATCTCTAGCTTTCTGCGGTGCCATTGCGGATGTGGGAAGATGTCTTCACCAGATAAGCACTTTGCCAGGACTCCACCAGTCCCAACAAGGTGGTTTTAGTCCCTTCCTTCTCCGTGATTTGGTATTTAGCTGGCAGTGT